AAGAATAACAACAAGGATTCCAACAGATTCAATCTCTGATACCATATCAAATTTTGAACAAATAGGCTGAATGTATTTTCCTTTGCTTTCATTCCAATAAATAATCATCTGTACAATCCATTTTAGGTACATAATATTTTGTATAAACTATTCTAGGTAACTTAATTAATATATATGCCTAATCTAAATATTCAGCTAAAAGGAAAGATTTCATGTCAATATAATATTTCCTTCTTTGCAGTATTGCAAAGAAAGAAACTCTTTATTTACTCATGATTGATAATTGTAAGTTTTTACTCTTGTTTATTTCTCGCAATGAAGATATGCATGGATTTTGTGTTTATAGTTTTCTCAATAATGCATGGCTAGTCTTTGCTTCATGTTTCTGTGATGTAGGAGTGGTGGTTTTCTTCGTGCTCTTCTGATATATTTTTCTTATAGCGTTTCTAATGCTTTCATGGTTTATGTTGTTGGTTAACCTTCAATCTTAATTTACTCCCAGTTTGATTAACTAGGATGTTAAAATGTTTTGTGAAAAGACGACTTCTAACCGTCGCTTAGTGGAAATGACGAGTTACCCACAGGCTTTCGAGATAAAAGGCACACTTCAGTGGAATTCTGCAATCTTTCCGGGGAACGGAATAAATACGCGGGATGGCAAGGGGATTTAGAAAGTTTCAACTTCACGAGTTTCAGACTTCTTTTGACCTAAACATAGGCATAAAGAGAAACATATCCCCAATTAGCAACAATCGCGTACGGAAACGTTTATGAAATTCATGATCTCCATGATCCTTAAATCACATAACCAAGAGTCTCATCTGTCTTGAAAGAACTCTTAATACTTTTTCCCACTTTTTATGTCTCTACTGGCTACGATCTATTTTGTTTCATTAGGCTTAGGACTTAAAAACCTTCTTTGTGAAACCGCCAAGCTAAATTCATTGGATTCGTAAATTAGAGATTTTTCTGCAGGAATAATTTTTAAACTTTCCTTATGGGATCGATACACGTTACTCTTTAACGACGTTATTATTTTACTTATATACTTGCGTTGTACGACCAACTTAATTAGCGGTAAATTTTGGCATATCAGTGGCGAAAGGGTGCAGTTGGACATATGCGATTGACAATGATGAAACATCTGCACTAGTAGCAAAGATGAGCACAGTGAAGACACTTGTTTCTCTGACAGTGAATGGAGCATAGAAGTTACGCCAACTTGATGTAAAGAATACATTTCTTCATGTTGAGTTATTAGAAGAGTTATATATGGAGATACTACCAAGATTCGACACAGCCCAGATAGTGGGCAACTCACTGTATGGCTTGAAGCAATCTCCTCAAGCCTGGTTTGACAATTTTAGAAAGGCTATAGTGGGGAATATCAACAGATCAATGCAAATCATACGGTGTTCTTTCTATAACTTGAAGGTCACAATACTATACTTGTTGTGTAAGTTGACATCATTGTTACCGATGATGATGAGATAGAGATTTCCCAACTAAAGGTAAGATTGGTAAATTAATTTGAGGTGGAGGATCTTGGACAGCTCAGATATTTTTTTGGGATTGAAGTGGCCAGTGGACAAGAGGGTATGGTCTTGTCCTAGAGTAAGCATGTACTAGATCTCCTTACAGAAACAAGTATGTTGGGTTTGCTCTCTCATTGATCAGAAAGTCAAGCTGAGTGCAGAGGCAAGAGAACCAATTGATCGTGAGATGTACTAGAGATTGGTGGGTTGTCTGATCTATATGGGTCAAACTCGACCCGACATCTCTTTTGCAGAAAGCGTGATGAACCGTTATGGATGCAGTGTATCAAATTTTGAGGTACCTAAAGAGTGCACCAAGGAAGGAGTTGATTTTCAGGAAGAATAGGCATGTAAATTTTGTGGGTTTTTGTGACGTTAATTGGACGTGTTGTGCTGATGACAGAAGATACACCTCAAGATACTGCATGTTCGTAGGGGGCAACTTGGTCACTTGGAAGAGCAAGAAACAATCTATATTAGCGAGTTTATCAGCAGATGCAGGGTACAGGGTCATGGCCTTAGGAGTTGCCAAGATGATGTGGTCAAGAGCATTGTTGGTCGAGCTCAAGGTGGACCAAGGAACTCAAATGAAGTTGTGGTGTGACAACAAGCCAGCAATTAGCATTGTCAATAACTTGCTACAACACTATAGAACCAAACGTTTGGAAATTGATAGATTCTTCATCAAGGAAATGATAAATAACAAGTTATTGGAGCGAAGTCATGTAGTCACTGGAGAGCAAGTGGCGGACTACCTCATTAAAGGACTTAATTCATTAAATTTGTCTAGGTTATGTGACAAAATGGGCTTAGTGGATATCTTTTGCCCATCTTGAGGGGGGTGTTGAGAATTGGACCTTATTTAGAGTGCTATTGGTACAAGGGGAATATTAAAGAAGTCTAGGGTTTAAAGACATTGTAATACCCTATTTAAGCCCAAGTTATGTATGTATAGTTTTGGTTTTATGAAAAATTATTTTATGGCGAAAGTACTAAGAATAAATTTTATCATAAATATACTAGCATTTGAAGTGACATCCACTGGAAGCAATTGAAAATATACACAGTTGATTTGGACATGTGCAACTAGGTTTAGAAAGCACACTAATTATAAAATACGTAAATTAAGTGGCCAAGGATTAGAAATAAAAACAAGTATGCTTAGGGCTTATTTGAGAACAATTTTCTTTTTGTTTTTTTTTTTCCTTACTTTTTGTTTTTTTTTTAATATGTTTATTTAGTATGTTTTTTATATGTTATTATTTTTTATTTTTAAAAACAAATAAACAAGCTATTTAAAACACACAAAACAATTTTTAGGCGTTCTAATGTTTTTAGAAGCAATCATACTTTAATCAAATAGTCAAACATGTTATGTTTCAAATCAAGACAAAATAAAATAAAATAAAATTTAAAAAAAAAATAAAAAACAAAAAGTAGGAGTGATCTCCAAAGGGCCTCTTAACATGTTTAGGCTTTGATCGAAATACTTAGATTCAACACCTCAAGCAATACTCATCAGGGGTGAACGAAAAATAAGTATATATAAAACAAACTTCAAATAGTTGAGATAAAGCTAAAGCTAATGATGACATCATCAAATACCATTAAACTATAAATATTGAGATTCATCACTACAAATGATCAAATTTGGCATACATGCTCATCAATGAAGCATTTATACAACCAAAAAAGAGAAATAGAAAGGAAAGGTGTATTCAACAACAATTACATCATTTTCTATAAAGCTCAAGCTTTGATAGAAAATTCAACAAAATACATAATACATGGATAATGAAAGATGAGGAGTATTTCTTTAAAAAGGTAAGGTTTAATAAATAACTACTTGAAATATATCACTTTGAAGGAAAGATAAAAGAATGGTCCTTATAAATAATATCTTTGAAGCGCACTTCAAACTTCTCTTTTGAAGTAAAGCTTATGTGGGCTTTGTGTGTCGATTATGTCTAGCTTATGACTCAAGAATAGTGAGTGGTTCATTTCAATACCAGTTCAAGTGCTCTTAGGGTTCAAACTAAGTGGGTTTAGATTTGATAATCCTAATGCACTGCAATTTGTGATATTGGAGTTAAACCCCATCACACCAGGAAAATAAATAATATTACTAAAGAAAATAAACGGTTACAACCAACACATTTGAAAGGGGAAATAGAATAACACGATATAAATAAACATCAATAAAGTGAATCCTAAAGGTGGTCGGGGTTGGCTAGGTGGATCAAACTAGCTAACGGGGGTGGCAGTAGCAAACGGGGCGTGCAAAAATGCAAGGACAGCAAGTATGGTGGCTTTCATGGGCGATGGCAGCGAGGAGTTAGGGTAGATAGCAGCGAAACAACGGGAAGAAGATGTTCCTTAGCTGTCCTGGGCGGCAGCAGCACGGTGGGAGGGTTGGGACAGAAATTACAAGGGTCAAATTGGGCAGCAACAACGTCGAAAGGAATGAGGAGGCGGCTGGCAGCCAAGAGGCTGCAGAAAATAGAACTCAAAATGCTATTGCGGGCGGCTGCAGCAAGATATGGCGATTGGGAGAGATGTGGGAGAATGTGGAAGGGTTAGGGCGTAGATAATCACCATCTTGGCAGAGAGATACAGCCAGAGCATCACCCAATCCTTTGGATGCAAGCCTCAAAGGGGAAAACGGATGTCGGTGGCTATCTTGACAGAATTCTAAAATCTGGAAAAAAAAAAAGATACCCTAACTAAAACAAACAATGTCTATATATAATGAGGAATAGTAGATAGAATAAGTAGGGAATAGAAATAGAAAGGTGATGGAAAAGTATGGAGGTGGTCAATGAAAGTGCTAGAAAAAAGACTGGACGGCAAGGAATCAAATAGGAAAAATGGTAGAAGGTGATCGCGGCTATAGTACCACGTCCAGTAAGCTCCCGAGTCAATTTGTGTGCACTCAAATTTTTTTCATGTTTTGCACAATTTGCCATTGTCCTTTTCCTTATGGCAGAGGCAAGATGCAGAGACCCACATCTCAAACAACAGGATACGAGGTGCGGGGAATCTCAGATGCTCAAAAATCATATGCAAATTCAACATTCGATTTCAAGCAATGTTATTATTTCTTCACTTCATTTTATATATTCAATTCTTTCTTCTTTACTTTTGACCCTAAAATCTTCACATTTTATTCTGACTTCATCTTGGAAACAGTTTATCAACTCAAATATATGTTTATAATAAAGGTAAGCATGCATAAAGACCTCTTTATTTATTTTTTTAAATCAAATGCTAGTACGTACTAGTTTTCTTCTAAATATTTGACTTGAAATACCTGAATCATTTATAATTATGATTTCTAAAAAGATTTTGGAATAATGTAATACAATGTAATGTTCCATGTGATGTGTGGGCTTCAATCAACTAAAGCATGTATTTTGTTTTTAAATGTCCAAAACATGAAATTTCAACAAAAGAGCAATTGCTTACCTTCTTTACACAAGTGAGGATCTCAGGGCTTGATGCTACAAGTACACATCCCCTCGCCTAATTTCAAATAAGAAACAAAATTAGAGAAAACAGTTAATATGTCATGAAAACAATTGCATGCTTAGCTGGCTAAAATGATGTGATAACCGAAACACAAGAAAATTAATGAAAGCTACAGAGTACAAACATACTTGCATGTAAGCCATATATGGACTTGGATTCACAATTCTTAGTGCTCGGTAAACATCAAAAGGATCGGCAAATGTACGTCTTTCAAATCGTTGGCTCAAAACAACCTGAAAAATGTCACCAGCAAAAATGTGTTCTTTTGCTTGCAAAACAGCCTGTTTGTATTCTTCTGCCGTAATTGTCGATCTTCTCAGAGGAGCACCAAAGTGGCTAGTATGGAATTTGACAGATCCAGTACATAACCTTGGACTGCATCAAGTAGGCAAGAGAATTTACAAGTAGAAATCATGTGGTCAGACAGTTCTTAAAATATTGCAAAAGCTAGATGAGATGTTAGGTAAAACCACACACGGTTCCATATTCTGCAATCGTGATAGCAAAACCTCCAATCTATTCCTCCCATTCTGATAAGCATCATCAATAGAAGAATAGTGACTCAAATGTACCCAATGAATCACATAAGCTTTCTGGGGCCAAGCAAACATAAGGGAGTTCAATCAGGCAAATAGCATAAACAACAGTTTTTATGGTCTCATGACCTATGCTTTTCATAAGAAACCACTGCTAAAGGTAAAAAACATAGTTCAGTAAAAATGTTAAGCTTCATTTGAATGGCGGCACACTGAGAAGACATGTAACAGTTAATAGCAATTGGTTCAAGTGTATTCCCACTGTAACACGACCCTATTCCCACTGCAACACAACCCTGATTGCAAACCGAATGTGTTCGTAATTGAACACACAACAATGCATTTTCATGTTCCCAGTTGCTGGAGTAATTTTTCAATCACAGCACCTACAACATGAATCAGTTCAGGCGTGAACCAATTCTAAAAGTTAACAAATAAATACTAACATCCATTGGTGTATTGCTTACGAAGAGAAATCATAACATAAAGATATGTTGACATTTTCTGAAAATGTATTAAATTCTCAAAAGCTCAAATTTTGTATTGATAACACAAGTAAACGATGGTAGCAATTATGACACTGCTTCACTCAGCCATAGTGTTAGGTATGACTCAAATACCATATAAGGGACAAATGTTGGAATGAAGCAGAGCGGAGCGGAAGAATCTGTTCAAATCGGGAGAGTTTCATCTTATGGGTTGGGGTACGGGAGGAACGCCCCGCGGTACAGGGATAATTTTGTAATTACATATTATACTTCAGGTTTTACTCTAGTGTTATATATATATGTTTGTTTGTAACCCTACGAATTATCCCATATTCTGTGCTTCTTTTCTGAGATTGAAGAAAAGTCATTGCTCTGCTCCGATGACGTCAGCATCCTTGCAAATCTCTGTGTTCTTCTAGTTTTGTGTCAATTCTATTTTTCTTCGCCCTAATTTTTCAACGAGTGGTATCAGAGCGAGGTTTCTATTGCAAGAACAAAAATTTCAGCGGCTCATAAACAAACAATGAAGGTTTGAGGCGAAGGATTTCGACAGTTTGGAGCACAGGCGAATCGGGTGTTCGGCGAGCCTTGTTCTGCGACCAGTGGAGTTCACGCGAAGAGGCGAGAAGGCGGCAACGCAGAGGGCTTAGGAGTTCGGCAACGCAAGGTTCAGCGAAGGAGATTCGCGGAGGTTCACGACCAGGCAAGAGGGTTCGCGACATGCGAGCAGTTCCACAGAATCGCGCGACAGTTCCACAAAGGAGCTTAGAGGCAGGAGTTCGCGAGAGCAGGAGCAGGCAAAAGCGGTTCGGGCAGCGCTCTGTTTGGCGCGGGAGGTAGTTGGCCGGCGGAGCACGGGAGCGGAATTGGAAGGGAGAAGGAATCTTTGATTCTCTCGATTAGGAAAGGAAATTCTCCTAAAATTGTTTTTCTGAAAATTTAATTAAAACAACTACTTAATTAAGGTAAATTTAATCAAGAAAATTTAATTAAGGAAATATTTCAATCTTTTTTAAGAAAGATTATGTTGTTTTTTTGAGAAATTTAATTAAGAGAAAATTAATCAAAAATACTTAATTAAGCGAATATTTATTTTTTTTTCAGAAAGATTCTATTTCGAACGAACTTAATTAAAGAGAAATAGTAATTCTGGCTTCAGACATTTTGAAAATTTAGCAGAGGAATTTGTAGAAGAGTTCGTTGCATGATCAATTTCAGATGGCAATTTCTGGCGCAAAATTGGAGGTGGTGAAGTTCGATGAAACTGATAACTTCGAATTATGGCAAACAAATGTGAAAATTTTGTTGGCACAATAGGGAATCTTGAAGACTTTGCGGACAACGAAACCATATGTCATGTAGGATGTAGATTGGGAAGAATTGCAACAACGAGCGGAAGCAACCATACGCTTTTGTCTGACAAATGAGGTTATGTAACACGTGATGAATCTAAAATCTCTATGGTAGGTATGGAAGAAATTAGAAACTTATTTTATGTCGAAATCTCTGACGAATAAATTGTATTTGAAGCAAAAATTGTATGAGTTGAAGATGCAAAAAGATTCTGATCTGACATAGCACGTGAATGGCTTCAATGGCTTCAATCAAATAATCATAAATAATCATGAATTTATCACGACTTGATGTGAGTATTGAGGATGAAGACATAGCAATGATTATGTTGTGTTCACTGCTTCTTTCTATGAACATCTGGTGACTACTCTGACATGTGGGAAAGAAAATATCAAAGTTAATGAGATTACTGCAGCATTGTTGGCTCACAACCAGCGAAAGCAGAATGCAGGGGAAAGATCTCATTGAGACAGTTTATATGTTAAGGGTAATCAGGATCGTGGAAGGAAGAAAGAGAATAAGGGTTCTGGAAGGCGAAAATCAAGACCAAAGTCCAAAGGTAAAAAGACAATTCATTGCTACAAGTACAAAGAGTCGAGTCATATGAAGAGAGATTGTCCAAAGCTCAAGAAGTAGACTAGGGAGAAATGTGATGTATCATCCAAGTCTATAAATGTGGTGTAGAGGTGGTGTGTGTAGAGTGACAATTCAGATTGCAGTGATGATGATATGCTTTCAGTTTCATCAACTCAGGTCATGAATGCATGGATTCTTGATTCAGAGTATTATTGTCACATAACAACTAACAGGGAGTAGATTACCTCATACAGGTTAATTAGTTATGACTCAATCTATTTAGGTAATGATAGATGTTGTAATATTGTTGGTGTTGGCGAAGTCAGAATTCAGACGTATGATGACAATGTTAAACATTATGTGATGTCAGACATATTTTAGATTTGAAGAAGAATTTGATTTCCATTGGCACTTCACATTGAAATGATTTCATTTCTAAGGCAAATGAGGATAGAGAAACCATCAGAATTGTTAATGGTGCACTGATTGTGATAAAAAGAAAGTTAATTGTAGGTAATATCTACAAGCTGTTGGGAAGTACAGTTGTATGTGGAATTCATTCTGTGGAGTCAGATGATTACAATATAAAGCTATGACATATGCATCTGGGTCATCTTAGTAAACGTGGGATGGCGGAATTGCATAGAAGAACCCTGTTGCATGGTGTTATAAGTTGCAAGCTCGATCTTTGTAAGTTTTGTGTTCTTGAAAAATAGACTAGAGTCAGTTTCATGATTAAAAAGCACAAAATTGAAGGGATTCTTGATTATGTGCATTCTGGTGTGTGGGGCCCTGCCAGGGAATCCTCAATGGAATGATTTATGTACTTTGTTATATTTATTGATGATTTCTCCATGAAAGTTTGAGTGTATTTTTTGAAGCAGAAATCTGAATTATTCTTTAAATTCAAGCTATGAAAAGCTCAGGTGGAGAACCAAATTAGCAAAAAAATCAAGCATTACTTTATATTTGATAATGGCGCAGAGTACACAGATTCACAGTTTTATAAATTTTTGTGAGGAGCATGGGATTCAGAGGCATTTTTCAGTGCGCAAGGCACCACAATATAATAGTGTTGCTGAAAGAACGAACAGGTCCTTAACTGAAAGGGTAAGATGCTTGCAACTAAATGTAGGGCTTCCTAAGAGTTTCTGGGCAGATGTTGTGAATATGACATGTTATTTCATCAATAGATCACCTCGAGCTTCATTGGGTGGCAAGATCGCAGAAAATATATGGACAGATAATCCAGTTAACTTCGATCATTTACAAATCTTTTGTTGTCATACTTATGTGCATGTACCTGAAGATGAAAGATCAAAACTTGATGCAAAATCCAAGAAGTGCATCTTTATGGGCTACAACAAAGCTATGAAAGGATATAAATTTTGGGATCCTATTGCAAAGAAAATGGTGATCAGTAGAGATGCAGTCTTTGATAAATAGTTCATGCTACAGCAGAATCAAAACAAAGTACAAGGGAACAATTCCAGTTCAGATACAGTGCAGATGGATTTAAAATAGCAACCAGAACAATTGAGAGAGTTGAAGGTTCAAATCCAACACCTGGTAATTTCATTCCAGATGATCTGCAAAATTATAATTATTGATCTGCAAAATTATAATCTAGCTAGAGACAGACAGAGACGCACCAATATAAGGCCTCCTAGCAGATTGTGGATTATGAAGACTTGGTCTCTTGTGTACTTTTCATCAGCAATACATGGCAGTAGCTGAAGCTACAAAAGAAGCCTTATGGCTTGCTGGGCTAGGAAAGGAACCGAGTGTTGAGCAAGGTGGATTTCAGTTGCATTGTGATAGTCAGAGTGTCATTTATCTGGCTATGAATCAGGTGTACCATTTGAGAACCAAGCATATTGATGTCAGGTATCACAAGATCAGAGAATTGATTGCTTTTTGTGAGATACTGTTGCAGAAGCTTCATGTTGATGAAAATGCAGCTGATATGTTGACCAAGCCAGTTACTATCAACAAGTTCTCTTGGACTTGTTGAATGTTTGCAGTTGCTAAAGAAGCATGGTGTCCCAACTCATTTCAGTGTATAAGAAACTCCATGATGTATTTCTCCTAAGAGGTTGGATATTCGCAAAGATGTATATTTGTTAGGTATGGCTCATATACCATATAAGGGACAGATGCTGGAACGAAGCGGAAGAATCTATCCAAATTGAGGGAGTTTTGTTTTGTGGGTTGGGGGTGAGGGGGCAATGCCTCGCGGTACTGTACAAGGGTAATTTTGTTTTTACATATTGTACTTCAGGGTTTACTCCAGGGCTATATATATATATATGCTTGTTTGTAACCCTAGAGAGTATCTCATATTTTGCACTTCTTTTCTGAGATTGAAGGAAAGTCACCACTCTGACATCTTTATCGAACCTCGTTAAATCTTTGTGTTTTTCTGGTTTTGTGTTAATTTTATTTTTCTTCGCCCTAATTTCTCAACACATAGCGACAAATTTAGGTTTTGGTACTTCTTAAATGTTTCTAATAGAAACGATATTAATGTCCATTTTGGAAATGGAGAAGCAAGCACTCTCATATTTTTTTCTCGATTCTAAATAATGATTCAATTTTGAAGACATTTGAACCTTGTGCTTCCAAACTTATTCATGTATTTTAGAATTTCATTGCTCAATATCAAACTCGGTAGTAAATTTACAAATTGGATTTAGTAAATGTAAAATTTATGAGATGAGATTGCATGACAGAATTTAACCACACCAATTAAATAGAATGCAAGCGTTTCTTCAAGTCCTTGAATAAGCAAAGCCACCAGGACGACAAATGTCCTTTTGAATTCAACTGATTGTACGCATGATAACATAGTTCAAGCTCCAAGGAATAAAGGTGGCAATAGCTTAGGGTTATCTTATTCACCAAGCAAATTATAAGTATATAATTATCCTTTGCTAACTGATCAAAACCACTCCTAAGAGACATGCTAAAAATAAACAAGGCATCTTTCTAGAAAACTTTCACAGACGAGCTAGTTGCATAAAAATATGCAACACTTTGACTAGAAAAAAGGATAAACATGAAACTGCCAACAAGAAATAGTAACTCAGGGCATGCATAATAATAAATGTAAGTTTCGACACATCTAATCTGAAGCCAGAAAGAAAAAGAAGCTGATGATGATCATTTCAATATTTCTCTGAACGATTTCACAGTTTTGACGAGTTACTAACTGGAAAGGTTAAGAATGGGAAAAATATAAAAAAGAAAGATTAAAAAAAAGAAGAATAAATCAGGTAGGAAGTGCCCGTTATTGATTAACACCATACATAGTAAATTAAAAATATTAGAACTATAGCTAGAAGGAAGGAAATGGGGATACCTTCTCTACATGATCAAACACTATCACATCATTATAAAGACCTAGGTTGATGTCAGGGAGGTTCCTATCATCTTTTGGAGCAGTGGAAAATGTGAGCCTTTTTTTCTCAACATATCGCATGGTGTCATATGAGAAATAACCCATCAATCCACCTGCAAAACAATTGAAAGTCACTTTCTTTGATCAAATTAATGACTTAAAATAATGAAAAAAGACTCAAGATTTCCAAACAATTAACAAATAACCATATTCTATAAAATTCATAAAGCTTATTGGGCTTCTAAAAATCACATCAAAACTAAATGTAACATCGAGAATAATATGAGACTCGAGATGAACCTACACCAATATCAAAGCATCGAAACTAAGAGAATAATGAGCTGAATCAGGTAAGAAGAGGCCGAATCAAGTTAAGCCGGATCACCACCAATCACCCCACAACTAATCCTCCACAAGTGAATCCTTCATAGAATAGAGATACAACAAAATATCTCTCCTCTGATTTAATATCTAAGTTGTCGGGAGGGACAGAATGGTTCAATTTCTAGCGGAGTCAGCCATCCTAGCATCTTAGACAGGGCTAGCAATGGAGAGGAACAAATTGGAGTCATATATTCCTAATAAATATTGGGCACAATTTGATGCAACAAAGTCACAAGAGGTAAATGGACTAACAATAAGAAGCATGATGAGGAAATGATAAAGAATTTTAATTAGAAAGTTAGATTGTAATTTTCTACGAAACTTTATTCATAATTTCATGTCATGGATTTATATAAAATGAATTAAAATTTTAAGTTTTATGAGAATTCTTTATTTTTTATTATGAGAAAATTTATGAAAAATCATGAATTATTTATGATATTAATAATTAATTAAGTATTTATTTCATATTTTTAAAAGTTTTAAGTCATTAAGTTCAGCCCTCCTTCCAAAAGAAGGGGTCCCCACTTTTTCAAATACTTTTAAATTGGTCTTTAAGATTTTTGTATGGAGCTTTTTATTTGTTGGTTTGCTCAACGAAAAAGATGGTTATTTGAGAAAAAAATTTAGATGCTCTACTAAACCTTGGAGGCTTGATGGTTGAACCAAAAAGGTTGAAAGATTTTATGATCTTTCATGAACCTATTAGTTCAGTGATTTATTTATTTCTTGCAGATTTTTTCTATAAAACTTCTTTTTCATAAAACTCTTGCTCTTTCACCCATTTACTTCTCATAATTTTTCCTCTCGGAATCTCCCTCCCAATCTAAACCCACATTTCCTCTCTGAATCTCCCACAAAATCACTACCTAAACCTAGCTTGAAGCTATCAACCAAGCCTATGCCAAAACATATCTAGCCTTGCAACTTTGGTTAATCTCTATATCCCCTTTGAAAAATTGTAAAATTCACTAGAATTGACCTAAACACAATTTCCTATCATTAATATAAGTTTCTTTTTTTTTTCGAACGCCCTAAATCCCTCCACGAAGACTAAAACATTCATCGAAAACTTATTGTAAGTTTAAGTTCCTTTGTATGTCCTAGTCTCCAAATAAAATCTGAAAAAATATCAAATCTCCATAAAAATTTGAGAAGCTTTCCAAAACATATATCAATATCTCAATACAAAATTTTCAATTGATTTTTAGTCCAGGGTTTATATATATTTTCCACATCAAAGGCCTAAAGTCATATCTACTTTGTTGAATGATTAAGTGAATGAGTGACTTTACACTCAAAGACAAAATGCGAAATTATTATATCTGTGATAGGCTTGGTGTAGCTCCTGTGACGGACAAAATTAGGGAAAGTTGTCTTAGATGGTTTGGTTACATTAAGCATCGACCATCTGATGATCTGATTAAGAGAGTAGATGTTTTAGATTAAACTAATGTTAAGAAAGGCAGAGGTAGACCTAGGAAGACTTGGGCTTATTGTATAAAAAATTATCTTAATTTATTAGAACTAAATGAAAATATGACATTAAATAGGACACAATGGAGAATAATGATTCATGTAGCCGACCCGACGTAGTGGCATTAAGGCTTTGTTGTTGTTGTTTTGTACACCTTGATCAACCCATAACTTACGTTTCTCCATAACATTCTCACACAAACCTTAATTCCTTGCCACCATACCTTCTTCAGCATACTTCAAAGCTTTTTAGTTTGAGAAAATATTTTACCTAAAACAAGCCCTATCCCTCCATTTTTAGCCTATTCCAAAAATTAACTCGATCTCCGTCTATAAATGAGCATCCAAATAAGATTTGTGGAAGATTTGATATTATATTATATAAAATGTGTTATAAGAATTTGAAGCCCTTTTGACTGTCAAACAGTTTCTCACTCCTTTGGATCTTACAAGTTCTTCTTACCTTTAAGAGCCCTCCTCTAATTCAAGGAATCATAAATCTTGCTCCTAGCACAACAGCATACATGTCTCCCGACCTCCTACAAGCTCAAGTCCACCACTCACAATTACAAGGATTCAGCTCAGCTAACTACTATGTTTCATGTCATGAATTTGATGGGACAGATGATCTTCCTATTCGAGGCATGTCGATAGGTTTAATTATTGTGGCATCGACTAAGGAGTGTTTAGCACGATGTAATGGTTGCCCAAGATGATTAGATCGTTGTCGACACAAGTAATACGGCTAAGTGCTAAGCCGAGAGATCATCTGTACTTGCGTCGCCTATCTATCAAAATTTAATTGTTCGTCATGTGTGTGTGATATGTAGGGACGAATGTAGGGACACGATGTAATCCTATCAGACAGGCGAATTTGCTGTACAAATCAGGGAAATTATTACGTCTGGATTCCTCAACGGACAGGATAAGCGCAGTCCGTGTAAACAAGTGTGATCGCATTTCTTCCATGATAGCCACATGCATGCATTGTTTAAATAGTATTAAAATGACGACGGGCCAAGGCGCGAGGAAGTACCGCAAAAGACATCAGGGAGCTCGTCCATGAACTGTGGGCTCCAGCCCTCCAAAATCCTTTGCGGGATAACCATTGGGTCATCCACGAATTCTTCAGTCCTCAGACCGAGCACGCGGTCCACAATTGAAACTACGTTTTCCTTGGCAACAATCTCCATAGCCGGGTGAGCTCCAATAACACTATACCGGCCCTGAAACCAGAAGAAACTCAATATTAATCCCCCTATATATTTAGGCAAGAGGAGAGGGAGGAGGAGGAGTGGATGGCACCGACGACAGAGGTTCCGGTCAAACCCTGCTCAACGGACTCGAAAAGGAAGCTAGGGGACTCGATGTCGTCTTCTTGAACGAGGCAGCGGTAAGCCAATATTGGGGTTAGGTGATCGCAGAAAATGCAGCGGTAGAGTGGGACCAGGTTGCTCCCCATCTCGACGGCGTATGCCAACCTCGCTTGCTCCTCCTTTTCCACTGTCCGGACTAAATAACAAATTGAGTTAGACGATCTCTAGCATGGTTGTGAATGAGCAGAGCAACTTACTTGAGACGGCGGAAGAAGAGAGAGTGGCAGCTAAGCATTTCAAATTAGAGCGGTGGGACAAGCTCGGCAACGGATGGCGGGTGGTCCAGGCCAACGTGGTGAGGGCTGCAGCGCGATGGCCGAGGCTGAATGAAGGTAAGCGCGAAGACAAAGCTGGAGTTTCCATCGCGATGGACGAAGGGACAAATTGGCCGGATAAAGAAGATGAGGATGGATGGGATTGTGATGTGGGAGGAGTTTATGTAAGCCATTGAGGGCAGGGAGGCAAGCAGGGGGAGAAGCCTGGGAGCCGAGGAGAAGCTTGCTTTTACGTATCAAGGGGGGCCCGTGCATTGAATAGCTTTAGGTGGCTGGGGAGATGGAACGATATTTTCTCTGGAGTAAATGCCCTTTAACTGTCCACCTTTCTTCGTTTTAGTTTTTCTCCCTATCCAGCATGCTTCTCCGACGGAGTGGTTAGGCCTGCATTTACTTGGATCAGAATATAGCATTTATTGTAAGCGCTCAGGCTGGTCCTCCGCATCCACCGCCGCGTCAAAACCTCCGGTTGCGCGCCGCGGGAAGGCAAGTTTGCGGAAGAATATTATGACCGGCGACGTCAGGTTGGCGGTTGCATAAATACATGTGGTTGGACCCACTGACATAAAAAAATGCGGAAAACGGCAAAATTTTAGCTCAAAATATTTACCAGGCCTGATTATTACAATGAGGATTTATCAATTATCGCGCACGTTTTATTATTATTGAATACAAATCCGTCCTACTAATAAATAGAGCATATGATAGGGGAGAGTGTGTGTGTGCACAGTAACCCGTGCAGGAAGCAAAGAAACATGCAAAAATAAGATGAATTTTCAAAAGGAAATGATCAAATTCAAGCAATGCCAACAAGCTGTTGTATTCGGTTAGAACCTGCACCTTTCTACAACTACCAAAAGAGCAGCAGAGTCATTATCATAAACTATTAGTAAAAAGGAAATTAAGTAGCTAAAGGAAAATGAACAGCTAATACATATTATAGCTAAGTAATAAAATACCGTAAATAAGGAGTGCTGGAAGGAAGTGTTGGACTGCTGCATCAGTTGTCATCTGTCTCAAGGAGAAACCGACTCGAGTTCAGAATTTTTGATTGAGCTGTCATCTAGTGGATAATAAGCGTAAGAGTGTCAGAAAAATTGAAAATATAAGAGATATTAAGTTTTGGTGGCAGTTGTGCAATCTAGGCATTGTCATTGATTTTCTTTAAAATAAGAAATGTACCGAATTTTCTAGGCTTCAAATTGCTGGAGGTTCATGTTGGGAATCGTTCTTTGCGCAAGTAAATCATCACAAGATCTCCCACCTTGAACTTTTATGCCTGCGATGCTGATCCGCTTGTTATTTATAATTGAGAGCACTAGTGTTGACTTTTTGTCTCACATCTTGGAGCATAACATTGAGATCTGTGGCCACATGATTTGCGATTTTGTTGGTAATTTTAGATAGAACAGCCAAGTCAGCGGTGTACTTTGAACCTTTAGTGTATGCAACCCGACTAGTTGAGCGATTGACCATAGAATTGTCGGCAAATTAGTTTGGCTTAACACTTCTTCCTGCCTTTTAGGTTCTTCTCCTCTAATCATTTTAGTTGATTTGCGGTTGGTCACCTGATTGACCATCAATTTGAGGGTAATATGTCGATCTTAGCTTAAAATCTATTTGAAATAGCATATAAAGTTCCCGCCAAACAATGACTTACAAACTTGACACTGCAGTCGGATGTCAAATTTCTAGAAATGTCATGCAGCTTTACAATATTTCTAAAGAAGTTCTGAGTCACATTAACCACATCAAAAGGCTCTTTGCATGCAATGAATTGTAACATTTTTTAGAAATAATCCATTATCACCATAATTGAATGCTTTGTTTTAGGTGGAGCTAATATAAAATCAAGACATAATTCTTCCTAAATAGAATATGGAATAGGTAAATGGGTGTATAAACTTGTATTTTGTGAGCTCTCTTTAAGAGTTTGACAAGTATGGCAACATTTGACAAATCTCGTGACAACTTGTTGTAGTTTAGGCCAAAAGAAACGAGCTTGTAGCAAGGACAATGTCTTATCTCTAGACACATGTGCCGCTCGACCATTATCGTGATGCTCTCCCATGGGTTGCATTTTCAAAGAGGTGTTTGGGATACATAATTGGTGTCTTTGGATAAATATCTTTGTTGTAAGGCTCATCTGATTAAAGCATCAACCATTAGATTGGTGACTCTCAATTTATGGGTCAATACAAAACTTAATTTTTGTATAAATAAAACCCATCGTACATGCATTCTACTCAACATTTTATGTTTTTGTAAGAATTGTAATGATCGGTGATCATTGAACAGAGCAAATTCTTTATATAGAAGATGGTGCTCCTGATATGTCGTCAATAAATTTTTATCATCCGACACAAATCTCAATGCAAGACATGAATCTCAAGGCAATATTTTGGGCAAAAAATGTTTAAATATTGATAACAAGTCTTAGAAAGCTCTGATTTAAGCAAACTTATTGTCAAATTAACAGGTTTGATGAGACGGATATAATGACATCAAAGTTAGTCTAATCCGAGTCAAATCAAGTGATTAAACATTATTGAAAGATTTCCATTCACGTTTAGAAGGTCAAACAAATGTAGACTTTCAACAAATTTATAGTTGAATTGAGCATCTCGACAAGGCGAATACAATGAGCACAAAATCACTAAATTCCAACATCAATACGATATCCAAATATCATTAAAAAATCTTCTATTAATGAAAGCTATTTAGATTGTTTGATTAAAATGATATATATTATTGCATTAATTGCACTCATAACACTATAAATAGAGCTCCACCCCTCACGCGATGGGGACTTGAGCCTTGAAAGAGAACTTGAAGCTTTAAGAAGGAGCTGAAGTCTAGCACCACTGCCGACCGTCGTTGACCACCATCAATTGTCGTCGAACACAGGTAATCACCATTGACCGCCACCAACCTCCGTAGACCACCGCCTACCTTCGTCGATCATCATCGACCTCTGACAATCGTCACCGACCTTCGTCTACTTCCACCAATCTATGTCGACCACTGCCTACCACCGTCAATTGTCGTCTATCTCTACGAACATCCTTCGACTAACGTCAACCGTCGTCAATCACCGCCGACCTCCGTCGACTATCGCCTCCCACCGACCTCAGTCGACCTTCACAAGCCTTCGTCAATCACCACTAACCAGACGCCGACAATCAACGCTATAATCTGAAAAATATAATTAATCATCAATCAATAATGAATTTTCACAACTGAGCTAGAACACGTAGTTTTTGTCTTTCAGGGTTTTTTGCGTAAAAACTTATGGAGTTGTCACTACTTGCATATTTTTCATCTATATGTGTGTTGAATTCTCGTACGTCGCTAATACGATAATTCGTTACTCTACCGCCACAGATTTCTAGCACACATCAGCTCTCAATGTTTCAATAATTGTATAATGACATAATTTTTGTTCATATGATGACCATTTATGAGATGAATGCTTAACTTTTCACTAAAGAACTCAATACCCATCCCACTGGCCGACTCATCCACCTCCACTTGAAACACCTTGCTAAAATCTGGAATGCTAAGTACAAGTCTTTACACAAGCTTTTTTTGATAATATTAAAACTCCATTGTTGTTCGGGGCACCGAGCAAAGGTTTCTTTGTTTGAGTGCATCAGCAACAAGTCCCATAATTATACTAAATTTTTATGTATCTTCGGTAAAAGTTTGTAAGGCGATGGAAGCTTTGAACTTTAGAAATAGTTATGGGGACCGACCACATTGAAATCATTTGATTTTTAACTCGTTTACTAGCTTTACATGAAAAATTAAAATTTTAATATTATATAAAAATAAATTTATTTTATATTTTAACTCGTTCAATTAATATAAAAATATGCTAACTATAAATCAAATATGACCATAATAAAAATTTAAGCAAACAAAGTATTAACATGCATGTGAAAATTCGCTCAAGTTTGAACTGACTTGAAAACTTTATAATTCAACTGAGCTAAATCAAATTTATTTACTTACTAGGTTAATATAAATCAGAAAGGGGGGTGGGCTACATAACCTATTTTCCCCATCTTGTTCTCATATTTTTATTTAATTATAATATATATATATATATATATAAAGATGTATGTTATTATTTAAAAAAAACTATAATAATGCTATTTTTGTTTTAATATACATAAACTCGTGATAGAAATCTATTTAGAGCGATTGCGAGAAAAGCCTCCGGAAACCCTCTCGCTGCCGCTGTAGGAAACGAAACAGTTGTAAGAGGAATGGCGTCCTCCACCTCTTCCCAATCGTCTTCCCAGTTTTCGGGATCGTCCTTCTCTCTTTCCTCTAGCTCTTTAGCATCTTCCTCTTTCCCGTTATCCTCGTCTTCTGCCGCCTCTTCTGTCTATTCATCTTCCTCCGCTACCGCTGCGTCCACCAACCAGACCCCATCCTTCCCCTTCGGCTCCGCCGTCTCCTCTGCTTGGCAGTCCAACCCGTTCGGTTCTTCTTCTTTCTCCACTGCATTACCTCCCAACGCTTCGTCCCTCTTTAGCAACTTATCAAACCCTAGCTCATCTACGGTGGCCCCTAGCAGTCTGTTCGCCGCATCATCGGCACCTAAACCCTTCTCTCACTCCTTCAGTTCCATCTCCACTACCCCCTCGGCCACTGTAACTTCCTCATCTTCCTCCCCTATATCAACCTTCAAGAATTCCTTGTTGACTACCCAGCCTTCCTTTCCCAGCCATGTATCAGACTTCCTCTCAAACATCTCATCCTCCATGCCTGCAGCAACTCCTGCAGCTTCTTCCGTCACAAAGCCTAACATCGGAGGCAGCTTATCGCCGCCCCTCTTAGGATTAGGGTCAGCCTCGGCTTCCACTCCTTCGCCTTCTTTCGGGATGCTGTCCTCTGTTTCTTCTTCCTTAGCTACTTCGCAGTCGTTGCCAGAGTTGCCTTTGTTTGGTGCAACTAATTCCACGGCATCTTCTCCGCTAGCCTCAACCTCAGGAACAACCACTCCTTCGTTTGGAAGGGCGGCCTTATCATCGGCAGCTACAACTCCATTATTCCCTTCCTTCATTCAATCTTCCTCTTCCTCTGCCACTTTGTCAAGCACAACCACAGGAGCTCTTTCCTCGAAGCTGTTACCGTCATCCTCAACGTCTTCATTATCATTTGGAAGCGCCCTGTCCTCGTCTAGCTTATCTGGTTCTGCCCCATCTCTCCAAACTGTCTTGCCATCACCTGCTATTGATACAGCCTCTTCCCCTGCCGTGACCTTGCAACCTTCTATTGCATTTGGAAATTCTGCTTCCCCTTCCTCCTTTGGATTCGGTAGCATTGCTTCCACAGCCAAATCAGCTGCCTCACCAATACCTCTCTTCTCCAGCGCTGGGACCTCAAAGTCTTTCTCATTGCCCTTTGGTTCTTCTTCTCCAGCAACATTTGCATCTTCAGCAGCAGCAGGAGCTACTTCCAGTGTTATTTCATCTGCAACTGCTTCGGCCACTCCTGCTTCATCTACTTTGTTTTCTACCCAAGCCTTTGCTTCTGTTGCATCAGCTCAATCAGTTCCTCTGTTTGGAGCTATTGCCTCTTCTGCAATGCAGTCAGCTTCTACAGCAGCAGCAGCAACTATAAGTTCGGCTGGCATTACTGCATCCACAAGCTATCTGCCAAGCTTGAGCTTGCCATCAACATCTGCAGTTTCAGCTACTTCATCAGCATCAACAACATTGGCCTTGCAACCTTCAACAACTCTTTCTTTTGGTGAGTTTCTGGTTTAGAAACCAAACTTTCCTTTTTCTTGAAGTTCTGCAAAGTTGGTTACTTTTGCGGTCCATGTTAATTGCAACGGAGCATATGACTTTTTGTACTTAAAATTTTAGACTAGCTTGTTGTATGCTATTTGTTCTGAAGCGCATATGCTAATTATTTGAAGCATCATCTACTTGCAGGAAACTTTCCGTTGCCATTTTTTTAATTTACCACTCTTCTTCTTTTTTTCTACATTTATGTATTTATTTACTTTTCCTATATTTCTAAGCTTTGCCTTAGCATTCGGCATGCTGGGATTTTAATTTCATATTTGAAAGTTAGTTTTTTTTTTCCTCGTGATTGTCCTTTTATGCCTGTTTAAAATTAATTGTCATATCTATATTCGACACTATATGATATGATGAGGAGATGTAATCCCAACTCAGGGGCCCGCTGCAAGAGCTAATGCATAGAAAATTTAGTTTTGTATCCGAGAGAAAATGATTCATATATAAACACATCTAAATTAAATGTATAGTTATAAATAAACATTATTTTTCAATCCAAATTTGTCAGTGTGCGATGCTAAAATCTTACTGACAAGATTCATAAGCAAATAGATATAAATTTAAGGGAGAACAAGAAAATCATAAGGACTTTGGAGAGAGAAAACTTAAGATTTCACCAGATCTTCAACTATACAAGATTTGAGGGCAAATGATTCTATACATCAGAACTTTCCCTTCACCTTCCTGCTTATAAGCTTAGACTAGGTTTGTTGCAGTAGAAAAAAGATGCATAAAATGTGAAATATCTTTCCAAACTCCTTGTTATTAACTTTTTGAGGTGTGTAGCCTGAAATACATGGAGATATAGATCATTAGTTGGCTGAAATCACAACGTGGGCGAAGTCTTTGATGTGCTTTTATCAAAGTTTGACAAGCAGCTTTCTAGCGCGGGATGACCTCAAAAGGCTTATGACATTTTCAACATTGCATGGACAATCTTAGTCTTGACATGCTTTGGTCATTGTTATCAAATCACAAAGCACAATGCGGCACACAAGAGTTTATGTTTTCTTCAAAGTACAAAGGGCAAAACAAAGTGAGACTTTTATTAACTAAGGCGCTAATAGGTTGTATAATACTATCACTGTATAAATACGTTTATTAGCAATTATATAAAGTATGACTTAAAAGTTGATATAAAAAAAAAATGTGATGTAATACATAACTTGAAGACAAATATTGAGGGTAAACATGCAAATTAATGGTTTGAACAATTTATAATAGTTTGTTGTAATAATTAAAAAATAAAAAAAATTATAAAAACTTAAATTGTAAAAAACTACAAATTAACTTCAACACGCCTCAACAAAGCGCCTCAACAAAGCGAAGCAAGCATCACGCGCTACGCTTTGTTTTGCCCGTGAAGCGCTCTTTTAAAAAATTGGCGTTAACTAATTTCCGTTGAACTTGGCAGGTCTCCAATGAAGGTGATTTCATGCTGAGCTAAGCGAGTTACATGATGGAATTGATGAGTTCATTTTATGCCTGACAATTTATGTCGGCTTGATGAGTTCATGGTAGCCTGAAATACATGGAGATATATATCTTTAGTTGGCTGAAATCACAACTTGGGCGAAGTCATCGATGTGCTTTTATCAAAGTTTGACGAGCAGCTTTCTAGCACGGGATGACCTCAAAAGGCTTATGGCATGTTCAACATGGCATGGACAATCTTAGTCTTGACATGCTTTGGTCATTGTTATCAAATCACAAAGCACAATGCGGCACACAAGAGTTTATGTTTTCTTCAAAGTACAAAGGGCAAAACAAAGTGAGGGCAAAACAAACTGAGACTTTTATTAACTAAGGCGCTAATAGGTTGTATAAAACTATCACTGTATAAATACGTTTATCAGCAATTATATAAAGTATGACTTAAAGTTGATATAAAATAGAAAAAGATGTGATGTAATACATAACTTGAAGACAAATATTGAGGGTAAACTTGTAAATTAAAGGTTTGAACAATTTTTAATAGTTTGTTGTAATAATTAAAAAATAAAAATTTTATAAAAACTTAAATTGTAAAAAACTGCAAATTAACTTCAACATGCCTCAACAGAGCGAAGCAAGCATCATGCGCTACGCTTTGTTTTGCCCATGAAGTGCTCTTTTGAAAAATTGGCTCTGACTAATTTCTGTTGAACTTGGTGGGTTTCCAATGAAGGTGATTTCATATTGAGCTAAGCGAGTTACATGATGGAATTGATGAGTTCATTTTATGCTTGACAATTTATGTCGGCTTGATGAGTTCATGGTAGCCTGTAAATTTGGTCCTTTTTGGGAACTACAACCCTAAGTATTTGCCTTTACAAAAATGAAAATTTTTAACAAAATTTTATTAGGAAAATCAAAGCATCAACCAATAGGGAGTAAATGAATCAATTACCTCTGCAATAACTCTGAACTTATTAAAAATTTAAACATAGATTTACAACTCATATATAAATTATGGTCGATGAAAATGGATATTATTGAAAGATCTGCTTCTGTAGCTATGGTATATCAATTGACATGGTTGGATTTGTTAGAAGAATAGTTGCCTACAAATGAGTTTGTCATTCAAATTCATTTGATAATTTCTATTAATTAAATTGTAAATGATTAGTCAATACATGCAATGTGAAGAATAAAAGAGAATTTATAATGTTGTATTGACAAGGCAAATTTCATCGCAAAATTAGACTATGATAATATTAGATGGCATTAATGATATAAAATGCTAATTACTCTGTGATGATTTATAGTATGAAAATTTTGATAATTATTCCAATTATTATAATAATCAATATATTTACTTCCTAAAATATGCATGAGTAACATCATCAACCATATTCTCATCAATTATTTATTATAACATCGACTACATATATGCATATAACGTAGATAGAAAATATTTTTTCATAGATCTAATGGAGTCTAATGACTCTGTTGAGGATTCATCACTCTTCTGACTAGTTAACTCGACCGACCAATTATATCAATAAAAGTGTTCTATTGATAGTTAAAACCATCGTGCACATCCTGTATGTATATATATTGATGCTATAATGCGTAGTTAAATGCATGATAATTTAAATAAATGATAACCTAAATCACTCTTCTACTAGTTAACTCGACTAACCAATTATGTCAACAAAAACATTCAATTGACATTTAAATCCATCACACACATCATGCATGTATATATATTGTTGCTATATTGTGCAGTTAAATATATGATAACATAAATCACATATTTTATGCCAAGCTGCGGAGGCCAATTAGAGGAGTTACTTCTCCCCACCGTTCGATCCACATTTGAGCGTATTAACTACTAACATAGTTGTGATTAGCACTCAACTTACCAAACTAAAATAACCTATTTTTATAAAAAAAATAATTACGTCATACAATAAGTAAACACTCATTTAAATATCTAATTATTTAGCGTTCCTCACAAAAACATTGTGAAGGGAACAATTGCTCAAATATCAAAGAGGTGTCAGGGAGAAAACTTGACGTTGAAATTGCCACAGTGAAGGAGAAAGACACAGCCATTACATTAAGATCTTTAGATTGAGAAAACTGACTATAGCTTAAATAACTATTAGCAGTTGAAATTGAAAACTGGAGAGAGAAGAAAACTATGATAGCAATTGGAGGAGGGGGAATACTTATGCTGTTTGTGAGGAGAAATAAAATGTCCGTTATAGCACTCAATTGTTATGACGAAGGATTTGCGGTGGCTGTGATGTGGGGAAACAACCACAACTCAATTTCATTTGGAACTAGAATTATAGTGATGAAGAGGATAGACTCCAAAAAGACAAGGAAGTGGAGAAGATGGTGGAGAAATGAGAGGGAGTTTTTCACCATCGTCGAATAACTTGCATTTCTAGCTGAAGCCAGTTGAAGAAGACGAAGAAGGGAAGGCTTGGGAGAGACAAATGTGATATGTGGCTGGCAGTGAGAAGGCGAAGGTGGTGTGGAAAAACTCAAAGCCATTCTCTTACATATGGCTACTAGAGGTGGAACGCAATGAGGCACGAGTCTTCTTGCATACACTGAAAAAAAAAACATACATGTTCATAACAATAAGTGACTGCATTGTTCATATGCTCTGTACAGTTTTCTATTATCTTTATGTGTTAGTTTAATGGACTTCTTTGGTTCATAATGCCAGGCGTTTTAATTTTATTGATTGCAAGAGATGAGAATTAACAACTGTATACTTATATACATATTGAGAACATCAGGCCTACATATTAGGACCTTGCTACAGTGATTATCATTCTATGATTTTCAACAGGTTCTACTTCAGCAGCTGCAAACATATCTGGTTCCAGTTCTACCACAACACGGGCATTGTCTCCAGCCACTGTAGCAGTTGGTTCAGTGTGTGTGAGCATTTTTTGCAATAGCAGATTTTTTTTTTAAATTTAAAAAGACATAAAAAATACTTTCTGCTACCTGTGTGGTAATTGGACTGCAGAAGTTACACTTCTAGTAGTTTGGCTACATCTCAGGCACCAAAGTTACCCTCTGAACTTGCTGGAAAGACTGTTGAAGAGGTACTTATTCTCCAGCTTATACTTTTGAGTTCGCTGTAACTTGCACCATAGTAAAGACAAAATTTATGGAACATAAAATGACGGAGATCTTTGGCACATTGCAACCAATGGATATATCATCATTGAAATTTACATTGTTCCCTGTTTTGTGAAACCATTTCTGATTCCCACATCAATTCATTCTGATATATATTGTGTTTACTTGTTTGATGGATGCAGTTTTGAGCTCTCTTTAAAATCTTGAGATCTCAATTATATATTTATTTCTATATCTAAAACTTTTTGTGATAGTCCATTTTCTTCTCAGTTGCCGAACGTGTCTTTCAAATAGAACACTCAACTCATTATAGGACAATTGTATGTAACCCAATTCATATTTGGAAATAACTTTTATTATATGTATAAAACTCTTCATCTTCTTCGCATTGAATGGGTTGCCTGGTTGATAGAACAACCTAGCTATGTGTTATATAATTCTATCTCTTATTCTCTTAGCTTCAATTCCTTTGATTCCTATTTGCCTTATTTTTTTCTTCATTACAATCTCTTTTTTACATTCTTGACAAAATGAATGATCCATAGGTTTTCTTATGTTAAATGCTTCAATGTGGCCCACTTTTGGACATGATTCGAAGGATTTTTTACCACAATGCATCAACATTTGAATATTTGATTTTCCAGTAATATCTATCATCCTCTTATTATGTTTTATATATTAACTTTATCTCAAATGTTTTTAATTCCATTTTGATAAGCAAGTGACCCATTTCTCACATCCAAAGGCATTTTCTTATATTGATTAATATCATTACTTTTAGATTCTCTATAAGTACAGATGAGATGCTATTTGGTCCGAGATATACCTCATTTTGTTAATTTATTATAATAAATGTATTGTGTGGCAAATAGCATTTGATTTGTATTTTAAGTGTGTATTTTCAAGTCATATTTTTCTTCTCGCATTTGGATCGAGCATAACTAAATCTCTTTGCATATAAATAAAAAAAATTCCAAAATGAAATTAATATTTGGGGGCATTTGCATACATATCACACAATCTTTATGTATTTACATATCTCACACCTAAACTTATATATTTACAAAAATAGCACTCAAATCATTAATATCACATTAAAATAGTACTATTACCACTTTTTAAAAGTCAAATACACCTTTTCATGCATAGGTTATATATATAGATATAACATCAAAGTGCTATATATATATATATATAAATTGAACTTTAGGTAACGGTGGCTCCCTACGCATTAATTTCAAAGTAAGGTACAGGAAAAGGGAGGGGGAGAGGATCTCCTTCTATGAAACCCAAAAAAAAAAATTGACACACCTCTAGTGGTTCCTCTCCCCACAGTACAACTCACACCAACAGAATCTCCAAAATACAGGTATAAAAAAAAAAAAAAAAAACCAAAAGGCCAAAAAGAAAGAAAGCCTGTGATCTTGTATAGCTTGAGAAGTAAGCCTGTGATCTTGTATAGCTTGAGAAGTAACTTGAAAAGTAAAATAGAAATAATGTACAAAGATGTCTTCAGATTAGCAGAGTTCTCCAAAATCATCTTCACGGGCAGAGAAAAACCAGCCAAAACCGTGAGATCAAAACAGTAAACAGGAGTCAGGAACAGGAAAGCAGAAAACTAAACTCGACCTGCAGCAAAATGAAAACCTACCAAGCAAAATATAAAACCTGCAAGAGGAGAAATGTAGACCCCAGCCATCAAACCGAAAATACTTAGAGCCAAGAAGCAGTAATGATTAAAAACGGACATAAGGCAGATTTAAGCTATCCCCAATGAGGAGACTTCTAAGAGGAGCAGGGGTGAATCCCAACTTGACATACCTCCCCTGCATGCTTGGCAAGCCAATCGGCAGGGGAGGTTCGGCAGGGGAGTTGCCCTCTCTAAGAATGAATTTTCAGTTTACCTCAAGATGCTTTTCAGTCATAAAAATTAAAATTCGTTTAAATGTGCGTAATATATCTCAGAGGGGAGGAGAGGTACCCAAAAGAATATCATAGAGCATTTTATAATCCATTTCCACGTCTAATTTATGAAATTGAAAACATTAGCCACCATTAATGCCAAAAAAACCTCCCAGCATTCCGTTTCCAATGGATTATCAGCAACAACAGGGGAGGTGAAAAAATAGAGACACCTACCCTCAAAATCTCTAAATATTCCCCGAATCGTAGCATAATCAGGATGCCAACAGCCATCCACATTTAATTTAACATAACTCGGTGAGGGGAGAGCCCACCTAATGAGCCGGGGGGAGGGGGCTTTAAAACCTGAACCTCAGTAGAACCAGCCCTTAAGACTTTCTTGTAATAGACAATCACATAAGCAACAATCATAGAAGCAGTGGGGGGAGAAGTGTGGTATTTAAAATTGTTTCTGGAGGCCCAAATGAACCAAATGACTAGTAAAGGAAGGGGAAACCCCTCCTTACTGATATCAAAATCTTTCCATTGCCATAAATATTTGCTTAAAGGACCTCTATGCATCCAAGAAAAACCGAAATGTGCACCAAACATGTCCCATACTCTTAAAGAGAAAGCACATTCAAAGAAAATGTGCCTCATGTCTTCCTCCATTTTGCAAATATGACATCTCGAGGCCATTTTTAAGCCTTTTAATTTAAGAATTTCATCAATAGGTATTAAAGAAGTGAGGTAGCGCCAAAGGAAAAAAAGGATATAGAGGGAGATAAAAGTTTATTCCAAATCAATTTTCCCCATAACCAATCACAACGTGAATGTAAATTGCTATAAATAAGTTTGCAAACCGATTGAGAATTGTTTCTTTTCCACATGGGGAGTCCTTTCGTGTAAGTGTAATAGGAATAGTAAATAGTAAGGAATATGCTTTGCATTTTGTTCCCCCACAATAAAACACAATTTGTAGAAATCCCATCCACATAAGTAAAGAAATCAGAGGCCAATAAGGAATTAGTATAAAAAGAGTGTGAATAATCAGAGTTATGTGACAACCCTCAATTATCATTCCAGAAAGAAGTATTACCATCCCCTATGTCCCAAAATATGAAATCATTAGCAGTGATTCTAGCATTAACCACAACTTTCCAAATACGAGAAACACCAACCTTCCACAAAACCAATGAATCCAAGGAAGGATGAGTTTGAGCATAATATTTTTGATGCAAAAAGGAAGCCCAAAGAGATGAGCCCAATCTGAATTTAAACCAAAGTTTGCAAAGGTTTGCTTGCACAGTATATTTTAATACCTTAAAACCAAACCCTCCAACTTTTTAGGCTTACAAACTTTATGCCAAGTGCCCCAAATTTTCTTTGCACCATTCCCCACCCATATGAATTTATTAAAAAACCTCTCCATCTCATTAATAGCACTTTTTTTGGGATTGAACACTTGCAAAGCATATAGTGGAATACTCTGAAGAACACTAGAAAGCAAAACAAAAAGTTCCCTCCCCCCGTAAAAAAAAAAAAAAAAACATTTCTCCAATCATTAATTTTACGTTTGATTTTATCTATAACATCATCCATATGAATTTGTTTCCTTCTTCTCCTTATCAAATTGACCCTAAGATATTTAAGAGGGAGAGAGACATGATGAAAATCAATATATGTAACTCCCCATTGAATAAGATGTTTCTTAACCTATTTGCCAAAAAACATCTGACGTTTGTCACAATTAAAGCGAAGTCCAGAGCAATTCTGAAAATCCTGTAAAAGTCCCATCACTTGTTTTATAGCGAGTTTGGATGCATTAGCAAAAAGAATGACGTCATCTGCATAAGCAAGGTGTGAGACCATCATTTTAGCTTTGTCAGAGAACCGTGCGTGAGGATGTGAAAACTGAAAATGATTAAGCATCCTGGATAAATAGTCAAAAGCTAAAATGAAAATAATAAGGGAAAGGAGGTCTCCCTATTTAATACCACGACATGCAATGAAAAAGCCATAAGAGTTTCCATTAACTAACACAGAGTAAAAGTTGTTAGTCAACAATCTTTTAACCAAAGTGTAAAAACTGGTATTGAAACCCCTAGTTTTCAGAACGTTGATAATGAAATCCCAATTTATGGTATTAAAGGCTTTATTGATATCTAATTTGATAATCAGATTACCACCCCTGCATTTTTTATCAAGATCCTGCAAAATTTCTTGTGCCAAGAGAATATTATCAGAAATATCACGACCTTTAATGAAGGCCGACTGATGAGGGGAGAAGGGAATATAGGTGAGGTTGGAGACGGGCCACAATCAGTTTACTAATAATTTTAGATATAACATAAGTTAGAAAGATGGGCCGAAAGTTCTTCCAATGAGATTTTTCATTTGATTTAGGGATGAGAACAATCAGAGCGGCAGAGAAATACTTTCCAGGATCATCACCCTGAAAAAAAACTTTGAATAGCAAGTACCACCTCGTTCTTAATAAAGTTCCAGCAGGAAATATGAAAAACGAAAGTAAAACCATCTGGGCCATGAGCTTTATGAGAGTTAATATCTTTAAGAACAGTAAAAATCTCCAACTCAGTAGGCGGGTCGGACAGAGAGAGGGAGGAAACCATGTCTCTCTGATTCTCAAATTAGTCTGAAAGAATATCAATGGCAAGTAGAGTATCAGCATAGAGAGAAGAGAAATAATCAGCTGCATTGGAATCAATCTGGTCAGTATCGGTGAGAACAAAGCTCTCATCAGTGACAATCTTAATAATGATATTTATGTTACGACAATGTTTGATAGTAACATGAAAGTACTTGGTGTTTCTGTCACCGTTCTTGAAATGATTGACACAAGCTTTCTGTCCAAGGTAATCCTCAATGGAGATTTTCTCCAAAAGAGGGTGATGAGCATCAACTAACTTGGCTACAAGATCAGGAGTGTCAATCAACTGAGCTTCTAAAGAGTCAACCTCCTATTGGGCCTTCAAAACCTTAGAGTGAACATTGCCAAAAATATCAATGTTTCCATCTCTTTAAATGAGAAACAACATTCTTATGAAGTTGCCACAAAATGAACCAAGAGTTGCAAATCAATAAAAGTAGGATGAGAAACCCAAACATTGAGAAATTTAAAATGATAACGAGAAGGTTTGGAATGAAAAGCCAAGCTAAGAAAAATGAGATTATGATCCGATGCAGCATGATTAAGATTTTTGACATGAATAATGTTGTAGTAACCCAAAAACGCTGAGTTTCCCAGAAATCTATGCAATCTTTGCATAAGAAAACCCGCTGCCAAGTGTAAGGAGGACTTGAATAGCCTAAATCATAAAGTTCAGCATCCTCAATATGTTCACAGAAACGATGTTCACAGAAACGGTTGAT